CAGATGTGTTGAAGTCCTAGACTTAGCGATCTCCGACGTGCTTTTAGCAACAGCGAAAATTGCCTTCTTCCAAGGATGTCTCACTTGGCTATTATTTAGACTATACACTATACATTTCCTTTACATGTCAACCGTTCTCGCCTTCATCAGCGCTCTGTTACCGATTTTCCCTTACTGGTTCGCCACAATCCCAGCAGCTTTGCAAGTAGTGCTAGAAGGAAGATACATTGTTGCAGTTACTCTATCTGTGACCCATCTTGTGCTAATGGAGTATGGTGCTTCAGAGATTCAAGATGACATTCCAGGGTCCAATGCTTACATTACTGGACTAAGTATTATTGGTGGAGTGACTCTGTTTCCTTCTGCTCTCGAGGTAAGAAAATTAAAAGATTGAATCTTTGGATCGAAAAATTGACGATTTTGTAATGTTTTTTTCGGGTGTTTTGTTGTTGCAGGGAGCGATAATTGGGCCGTTGATAACAACGGTTGTGATTGCTTTGAAGGATCTGTATGCAGAGTTTGTTCTGAATGATCCAAAGAAGATTAGTTAGCTGTTATTGATGTCTTTGATAGGAACTTCAAGTGCTTCTGCCATGGCTGCTTTGTGTTGGAAGAAGAATCATGTAGATTAGTAGAGAGATTGAAGTGTGTTTTTTTTTGTGGATTGTAATTTATAGTGTGGAGGGAAATGTGTAGCAGTAAATTTCAATTGTTGTTGTCTCTGTTGTTTTGTATGAGTTCTGATTCTTTTGGGAAACCGTGTAAATTTCTTTTTGTCAATTTCTTTTTTTTCTTTTAATTTTAGGTTCTTCTAAGGATAAATTGTGGAATTAGAATTGAGCTGAAGTTAAAAAAATTGTGTTGAATTGAACTGACAAAAATGTTTTAATTTGATGTTTTGGAAAGAAATGGTGTTATGATTAAGAGGGCTTAAAGACCAGTACCAATCAAACCAATCCTGGCTTATACAGATGATGTTTATTATTACAACGATTAAGGGATGGCTCAAAGTCAGAAGCCAATCAATTACGAGTAATGTACAGTGACTATACAAATTCTAAAATCCTGACCATTAGTCTATTAGAAAACAACAAAAAACATATTCTTGAAAACAGTAAATTGTAGTACAGTATCAAATTATTACTTCACGGTAAGTGTAAGTGATGTCGGAAGTCTTAAATGACACATTGACACCAAAAGAAGCGAGTCAGAGCCGTGTTACAAAAACTGATAATGCGATTTCAAGCTAATAATAATCCACGTGTCTTGTGTACTCATGTTTAGCCAAGTGTCATGATTTGATGTTGTTTTTTGGATTTTTCCATTTCTTTCCAAAATTAAATAATTGGTCAATGTTTAGTGATAGAGATTTTCTCTTGTTAAGTAATCACTAGATCTGGACCCGCACGTTCGTGCGGGGTAAATTATAAAAAATTTTAAATCTTAAATTTTTTTTAAAATAGTTAAAAATTATATAAAATGTGAAAATATTATAGTTTTGATTGATATACAGTAGTGTTACAAAAACAATTTTATTTTATGTAGTGTATTAATAGTTTGGTGTAAATGGAAAATTTATGGTTAGTGAAGAGTTGTGTGTAGATGTTTTAAAACAATAGTGTGTTAACCATGGGAAACACATGATAATTTTTTAATTGTTGTAATAATAATTTTCTAAATTAATCTTTAAACTGATTATATTATTATATGGTCCGACAATTTTAATGTAGTGATACATGTGTTACATATGTTATTTTTTATGTAGTGGGCAACATTTTATAGGTTACTAATAAAGTCTTATTAGCCTAATATATATTTACTGATTTTTTAAATTATTATATTTAATTAAATAAATCAAAACATGAGATGAAAGTTTGGATTGTCTAGAGCTTATGAATTGCATTCAAATCAGAAAATATTTCGAGATTTTGACGAATCTAAAATCTCTAATTTATTCGAGGAATATTCTATATTTCAAAATACAAAATATCTAGTTTATATTATATTTGGGAAATATAATAACTGTTTCTTAAAACATTGGAATAATCAAATTTGCTTTTTTATTTCTTCCATCTAAACTAATCAAAATTAATTAGTATAGTTTTATTATGGAAATTTTAAAAATCAAAAATAAACTATTGTTTGTTATTTTTCAATTATATTAAATTGGACTTTCGTTTCCGGAAATATCTAACATTACCTCGCCTAATTAAATAAGTTAACATATCTACAATTTCAAAAAAAAATTCTTCCATTAATCATAATTTTTTTTTTTTGGTCAAACCATTAATCATAATTTATTTTTATATTTTCTTAAAGAAATAAATTAAAATCGAAAATATATGATGATATTAAATTGATTTTTTTGTTTTCCGGAAATATTTCAAAATATATTACGAAATTAAATAAGTTTACATATATACAATTTTGAAATTAATAGTTAGATTTTTTATGGAAACTAATTTAAAAGATTTCTATAAATTTTGGGTAGTTATTAATTTGTTTATTTTATGGGAACTACTTCAAACAATTTCTATAAATATTGGGTAGTTATTAATTTGTTGATTTAATTTTGGATTTTGTTTTATATAAGAAAACAAATATCAAATGGATATTATATTTTTATTCTTTTTCAAATTTAAAAATACCAATGGCATTCTTTGTAATTAATCTACCAAAATAAGGTTACTTATGTTTGAGTGATTCCCAATTAATAGTATAAATGTTCGTTAAGTTATATCCCGCTATTGGTCCCCGAATGGTCGACGAGGCCGACATATGTATGCTAATACTTGGTCTATGAAATTTAAATAACGTCATGCATGAAATGAAATTTTAATCAATTTATCCTTATCCTACGTGTAGATCATGGAGTATAGTACAATTGTCTCCATATTACTAGTGTTTTAATTGTTTATATAACCACCATGCCTAATGGGGTTTACTAGTGTTTTAATTGTTTATATAACCACCATGCCTAATGGGGTTCATTAAGACGAATCTAGAAAAGTATTCTCTGTTTGGTTTTTGCTAGTTGACAACTAGAATGGTTTTGGGTAAATTCGGAAAAACCATTTGGATTTTTGTGTTGTCAGTGTCAACTTCAAATACTTACTATTTTAAGAGATATACTAAGTACAATGCAATTTAGCTTATTCGTTATTTCTAGTCCTGTATAGTAATTTATAGTCTAGGTAATTACAACTTGTAGTTATTGATTGATAATATCATACACTATATGTGAATGGAGTCAAATAAGTTATAAGAAGTCAGAGTAACAAAAAAAGTTATAAGAAGTCAAAAGGTTAGAACTTAGAATGATAGACCAAATACTACGCAAAAACATTATAAAAATTACAAGTACATTTAAATATATGAAACACTTGACAAAATTTTAGAATTTATCCACGAGAAGGTGTAGTTGATTATTTGATTATCATATTCAATCTTAAAATTATTCGCATATAAAAGAAAAATTGTAGAAAATTACATGTAACTGATAATTTATTAAAAAGTTTTATTAATAATTTTGTTTTACCTTCACCTGACATTTTATAGCAACAAAAAATGTCTAAATCCACGATCTAACAGAGCATGCACCAGAACTAGGCTTGGGCTTTTGGTTATCGGTTGGATCCATTCGGTTTCGGTTATTTCGGTTCTAAAATTTAGTATCCGGATATTTTGAAATTTCGGTTTTAAAATTTAGTATCCATTCGGTTATTTTGCTTATAATATTTCCGGATATTTCGGTTATTTTTGAGTATTTTCGGATATTTTTAGATATATTTTGGTTATTTTCGAGTATTTTTATATATTTTCAAGTATTTTTGACTATTTGGTCTATAAATAACTAATTATTTTGAAAATATAATTGTATTTCAAATATTTCGGTTCGGTACCGATTCGGTTACGGTAATTTAGTATCTATTCGGGTTTTTTTAAAATTTTCAGTTCGGTTCGATTCAGTTTTTTGCTTTAATTTCGATTCAATACAGTTGGTTCGGTTTATTTGTCCAGGCCTAAATAGAACATAAAATTACTTCATCAAATTCTAGAACTTTCCGTTGATGTCGGAGGTCTTTGGTCAAGTTTATAAATTTTCATTCAAAATTGGTTTCTTATAGTATTTTCCTTGACCACTATTATTTTATAATCCGACAAAATTAAATAAAAAATTGAGGAAAACAACATGGCATGCAGAAAAGAGAGAATGGGCTCCATAACGTTGATGATAGAAAAATCTTCTGGTTGAGATTAGTTAGCCAACCATCTCCACTCCTTCCAATAGTACCCGCCATTTTTTCATTTTTATTGCCAAAATTTTAAATTTTATGCATTTTATATTCATTTCTAAAATTTTAATTATATTTCTTTTAATAAGATTTATTTTTTTTTTCATATATTTCTAACCACCAGCTAATTTTGGTTCTTCGATACATGCTCTTTTTATGCTTTTGACCAGCCTTATATACTCCACAAAACAATGAAAACAAAGTAAAATATTAGTGTTCCATTAAAATCACAATATTCTCTAATTATTTTCACTATATCGAATAAATCATTAATTAAAAAAAAATCTAAATGAAAATTCAAACTAGTCATATATATATATATATATATGTAAATCCATAAGAAGATAAAAGATGGTTTTAAATATTACTATATTTGGAAAATGATCCCAAAAAAATTTAGAGAAGATATTTCTGTTGAAACAAAAAAAGATTGTGATATGGTGAAATGAATTGATGACTTCATTGAGATATGTTCTTCTTATCCATTTCTTTTGATAAAGATATATATAATACTAATAAATTCCAAAACAAAACAAAAAAAAAATGAAAAATTGAAAAATCTCTTTAGCAAAAAAAAAAAATTGAAAAATCTCTTTACCTTTGCCCACAATTCTAGAGAGTCTGCTTTGGCGGTTGGAAGCAGCAGTTGCTATCAAAAACATTGCTTCATAAACAAAATCTCAGGTGTTAGATTAGGCCAACGGTTATCTTCTTCTTCTCTTTGATTCTTCAAACCAAAGCATAAACAAATATAAAGATTCCTTTTTTGTTTTATGGTTTGATTCTTGGTCGCCTTCTCTCGCCCAACTTCACCTTCTCTGACATAATCACTACACCTTCCTTCTCTCAGTTTCTATATCAGAAACTTCATCTTCCTCTAAAGTTTTTTCATTTCATAGTAAATTCAAATCCCTTTTGAAATTTTTTGTTACTTTTTCCTTTGTTCGTGTGTTGAATTTCGATTTCAAAGACTTGGGTTTGTGGTGAATTAAGGTTCCGTTTGTAAAAAAGATTCCTTTTTATTTGGGGGAAATCGAGGAGTTCGTGTACGGAGCTAAGTTTTTTGCCTTTTTGATGGTTGCAGATAAGGTATTTGATTATATTCCTCAGTGAATTTTCATGTGTTTTTGTTTTGTTATCGTTGTTGGGTCATGAAAATTTCATGACTTTATTCTTTTTTTTTTTCATGTGTGTTTCATGATCTTTTCTGTTTATTTAGTTAAGGTTCCATGTGTGTGTGTGCTCATAACTTATAAACCTTTGTTGCAGAATCTCTTTAACTTTCAGAAAATTTGACTCTCTATATGCAATTTGTTTCGTTCCTGTGAAGGTCTAAAATCTTGAGGGATTCAAAAATTTCCGATGAATACACGTTATTCCGTTCAGCCGGAGTTATCTTCCAATAATATCTCGATCACTATTTCATCGTCTGCTTCGTTAAGCTCCTCACCCCGAGGCGAAAACAGTCATGCTGCTGATGGTAATGCTCAAGAGAGGTCTCCATCTTCGTTTTACATAAGGTTGGCTATGAAGGTATCTAGAGCTAGATGGTTTATCTTTTTGAGAAGAGTGTTTCACTATCAGAACGGTTCAAGATCCGACCTTGGCTCCAATCCTTTTAACTCTAGCACTTGGATGATGTCTGAGCTCATTGCTCTGCTTGTTCAGCTCACTGTGATAACATTCACACTAGCTATCTCCAAAGAAGAGAGACCTATTTGGCCAGTGAGGCTATGGATCACAGGATACGATGTGGGATGTCTTCTAAATCTCATGCTGTTATATGGTCGGTATCGTCAACTAGACGTTTACCAAGGAAATGGGTTTGTCCTCGGCGATGTTGAGCAGCAACAGAGAGGCAGAGAAGAAACAAGGTAAAACTCAAAATCTTTATCTTTTGTCAATTATGAATCCAAAACCTTTACAAGATCCTGATATTGCTCTATGTTTTCAGGTCCTCTCACTTGATGAACAAATGCAGAACGTCGCTAGAGCTTTTCTTTGCAATTTGGTTTGTGATTGGGAATGTTTGGGTTTTCGATTCTAGGTTCGGTTCTTTCCACCATGCTCCCAAGCTTCACGTCCTCTGCGTCTCTCTTCTATCTTGGAACGCTATCTGCTATTCCTTTCCCTTTCTTCTCTTCCTCTTCCTGTGTTGCCTCGTCCCTCTCATCAGTAGCCTCCTTGGATATAATATGAACATGGGATCCTCAGACAGAGCAGCATCAGATGACCAAATCTCTAGTCTCCCTAGCTGGAAATTCAAACGAATCGACGAAAATGCTTCTGATTCAGATTCAGATTCAGCTACTGCAACCGATGATCCAGTAAGTCCTAATCCTTTTACTCTCAATTCAAGCAAAATCCATACGTTTTCTTGGACCATAAGGTTTAATCTGTGATGGCTCTGTTTGATCAACTAGGGAATCTGATGTCGAACGTTGCCTATTAGTCTAGTTTAGGATTGAAAAGGACTTCGATTTGGATTTTTTACCTTTTCTTTGGTTTGGTTTGCAGGAGTGTTGTATATGTTTGGCGAAGTATAAAGACAAAGAAGAAGTAAGGAAGCTTCCATGTCAACATAAGTTTCACTCAAAGTGTGTAGATCAATGGCTTCGTATCATCTCTTGTTGTCCTCTCTGCAAACAAGATCTTCCAAGATGACAAAGCAAAAACCCCTAAAAGCTCTCAAGAGTCAAAAGCTCTCAAGAGTCAAAAGCTCTCAAGATTCAAAATCTCTTATTAAGTTCAATACTTTTTCTTTACGGTTTCTTCTTTCAAAATTTTAGTTTGGTTTGAAGCAAAGTCGATTACTTGTGTGAGTGTCAAATTTTTTGTACAGAAAGAGCTCACCAGTAATCGCAAAGTACATTGTGAGTAGATGATGCAAATCACAATGGCAAAACATTTATAGAATATTGTTATAGTGTGTATACTACTTCATATCATTTTTACATTTGTCTATTTTTTTTCAGTTTAAAACTGAAAAACCAGATATTACTCCAATAAAATCAATTAGGATGTCTTTTTTGACGTCAAAAAATTATATGTATACATCAATAAGGATGTTGATTTTCTTAAGAGAAATATTTTTATAGCACTAATTATATATCTCATATAAAGTTTGAACATGGTATCTAAATAGTTGGAGTCTTTGAGATGGTTTTGACGTCAACTATCTTAGTCTTAGGGTGTTTTATTTAGAGTTAGAATTTTGAGCCTTTGAGGTCTGTCCAAACCTAAAATAGGCACAACCAAACAAAAACAATCAGATGTTTTTTTTTGGTTACAGAATCTTTAAATTAGAATGTCTAGATTCTCAATTGGCACTAACACAACTAAGTATATTCCTAATTGCTTGACAAGTCATAATATTTGTCCATGCACAAAATGTATAACCATAAAAAGAAGAAGAAAACCTCCAAGTCAAATATTTTTCACTAATTTTTCTTGATTCTTTTCTAGAATACTAACCACCAATAACTTAAAAAAGCAGTTTGTCAACAACATTCAACGACTATTTTTAGCTGCCTTCTCTCACAAGTCACTATATAAATTAACCTTTTGGATTCATTAGCAAGAAACAACACAAATCATTCTTTACCTTCATTAAAAAAACTCACTAATTAAATTACCTTTTGATTCATTAGCAAGAAAGAACAGCACAAATTCATTCTTTACGTTCATCAAAACCATGACGAAAGAAAACCCTTCAACCCTAAATCTCGGACAACCTACGACGCAAGAAAAGTATTCCACAAGTTTAGCCAAGATCAACCCTAAACCCTCCGATGGCTCTACCGTTGAATCGAAGAGGCAAGACCATAACTCACCGAGTTTAAAACGTTGGAGATCGTCCTCCGGTAAACCGACGAGGCAAAATTGTCTATGTTCTCCGACGACACACGCCGGTTCTTTCAGGTGCAGGTACCACCGCGTTGATTCGTTGACACGTGTCGGGTCTATTGGGTCGAACCTCGCGGTGTTGTTGTCATCCAAGTCGAGCCGGTTTAGTGACTCCCTCAAGGCTCAGTAAACCGGTTATTGAATTTGTTCGGTATAATAATTATCGGTTTTGTTATTTGTTTGTTTCTTCTACTTCTTCTATTGACAAAAAAGACATTGTTCAATAATGTAATACTAAACCGATTGAAATCGGCTTAAACCGATTCAAAGGTAAACTTTATATTATTTTCACCTATTTGATTCATATTTTAGCCTTTATTGCATATATATTTTATATGCTTTATATATGTTAAATTTCCATTTGGGCTATGACGATACCTCAAATAGAATTTTATCTACATTTTATAAAATTCTAAAAATAGTGTATAATCAAACTTCAGTGATTTATTTTATTAAAGGAAAAACTACAAAATCTACCACTTATTTTCAATTTCTTTTAAAATCTACCACATTCCTTCTATTCTTTCAACTCATACCACATTTAGTATTTGAATTACTAATTTGTCCTCCCTATTTATCTTCCCAATTTATCTTTCCTTCCTATATCTCCCCTTCCGATTTATCTCTCCTCCCTATTTATTTTTCCTACAACATTAGCTTCTCTATTTATCTCTCTTTCTCTCGAAACACGTGCACTTTAACCAATAAACATTATATCTCTTGAGACTATACAATTAACTTTCGTTTTTATCTCCAGATCTTGTCTCCGATTGGAAATTCTCTGTTGCGTCTAGATCTTGTCCCCGATTTCATCATCTTTATATTATCATGAATCCCACATCTTGTCCACCAATTCTCATTCAAGGGTTTCGAATTTTATTTAGATTTTTCACCATCTATTTTGGTCATCTATTTTGGTCCATAGATTAGTTGAGCATTATTGTCTTCACCTACCCGGATTATTGAATTTTTTTTCCTTCTATTGCAAAATAAAAAAATGATCCAGTTGTCCCCGAGTACTATTACTCATTCTATTACTCATTCGATATGAACTTGTCCCCGATCGAATTCTATTACTCATTCGATTTGAACTTGTATCCTATCTAATTCTATTACTCATTCGATATGAACTTGTCTCCGATCTAATTCTATTACTCATTTGATCTGAACTTGTCCCCGATTAGTTGAGCATTGTTGTCTTCACCTGCCCGTATTATTGAATTTTTTTTCCTTCTATTGTAAAATAACAAAATGGTCCAGTTGTCCCCGAGTACTATTACTCATTCTATTACTCATTCGATATGAACTTATCCCCGATCTAATTCTATTACCCATTCGATCTGAACTTGTCATCGATCTAATTCTATTATCCATTCTATTTGAATTTGTCTCCGATCTAATTATATTACTCATTCGATCTGAACTTGTCCCCATATAATATATTATTTAAATAAAATTATATGCAATTGTAAACGTACAACATTTATTGCAACTTGTCCCTTTATCTGACACACCAGTCTGTCCCTTTTATCTCACACAACAGTCTGTCACCATCAAAGGCAATTTCGTCCACAATTTGCATGTGGCAATGAGATTTTGAAAACTCTTTTCAATGGTGGTAGATTTTGAAAGCTACTTTTCAAAAGTGGTACATTTTGCAAGATTCCCTTTATTAAAGAACCAAATTAATAATAAATATTGTTTTGTTTTGTTGAGATATTTTAAAAAGATTTTTCAGGTTTTCATTTTTTTCTTCTTCCAACTCTCTCCTCAAAAACTCGTCTCCACCTTTGTCGCTGAGCTTCTTCTTCAAACCACCAGAGCCGACTTGAGAAATCAACGTAATCGGTAAATTTTCCCATTCGCAAATCCATCTGCAAATTTTGAGTTCACTTATATACTAAGATTCTTCTATCTATGTTGAATCTGAGATTCACGAATTCATTCGGACGATTTTTGGGGATCTAGATCGGTCTTGTTTCTCTAAAACCTGTAATAATCTATATGTTAGCTTAACTACCAAATCCTTCCATTGTGAGTTCATTAATGTATTAAACTCGTAATTCCCCAATATTGGCTTTGTCTCCGATTGATTGATTATTAAATTTTTGTGTTTGAGAGACCATTCGTTTCCATATTAAGAATAAAAATTTGGTTTAGTCTTAATTTTCTTATCTTCCATATTATGTGGACACAAGTAATCATCTGAATCATGACAATGACTTCAGTTTCTAAGCAATGTGTTGCCTTTATTGACTGACTATATAGATTACTAATCTTTGTCTGATCCTATCTGAATTTTGCAAGTTGTGTTACAGATAATCTCGCAAAGTCTCATCCTTTTTCAGAAAACAAAACTAGGAAATGGTTGAAAGGTAGTTTTTTTTATTACAGTGTTGATATGCTTCTTCTATAGAGAGGTGTTTTTTGACTTGTGACAAAAAATTCTCACTGTTTGATTTGCAGGCATGGAGAGTTTTGATTTGCTGCTTAAGATCGTTATATCATGTCGCAGTGCGTTGACGGTTTCAAGCATTTATGCACCTCGGTTTTAGGGTGTTTTGATCTTGATTTGTATAAACAATCCGGTGGTCTTGGAGATCCTGAATTGCTTGCAAGAGACACTGTTTGTATGCCTATCATCATATTCTCCAATCTTGTTTTATTCTTAAGGACTACCATTAGAGGAATGATAAATGTTTCTTCTGAATACTATTGATGATTGAATTTGTTTTTTTGGTGCAGTTAGTGTGAGTGAAATAGAAGCTCTTTATGAGCTGTTTAAGAAAATCAGCAGTGCCGTGATTGATGATGGGCTTATAAACAAGGTAAAGCTAGCTAGCTTGTATGATCTTCTTCATTAGGTAAACAGCTTGAGGGATCTCATAATCTGTCTAATTTACTCATCTCTTGTTTGCATCAGGAAGAGTTTCAGTTGGCTTTGTTTAAGACGAATAAAAAAGAGAGCTTGTTTGCAGATCGGGTAATATTTCTTTCTTCACATTATAAGTCCCATTTTTGTCAAGATCAAGTTTAGAAGAAATGCTGATATATGTGATTTGGTTTCTAGGTTTTCGATTTGTTTGATACAAAACACAATGGAATACTCGGGTTTGAGGAGTTTGCCCGTGCTCTCTCCGTATTTCACCCAAATGCGCCTATAGATGACAAAATCCACTGTAGGTGTCCCTATTAAGTTATATCTCAATAACAAGGTTGGGTTAAGGTCTCGGGTATACTGTTTTTTTCTTGCAGTTTCATTTCAGCTATATGATCTTAAACAGCAAGGGTTCATCGAACGGCAAGAGGTAAATCTTCCATATCTTCAAATCGCTTCATAAATAACCCTGTACAACTCATCCTCAGAGACATTTTCGTCAATTATTTGTCCAGGTGAAACAAATGGTTGTCGCTACGCTTGCTGAATCTGGAATGAATTTGAAGGATACTGTCATAGAGAACATAATCGATAAGGTAAGTTAGTTGCTTTTTCCTATCCTTCTCCCCAATATTTTCTTTGAAAGTAATTTCCCGAGTTTTGATTGTTCAGACGTTTGAGGAAGCAGACACAAAACACGATGGAAAGATCGATAAGGAAGAGTGGAGAAGCCTTGTTCTTAGACATCCCAGCCTTCTGAAGAACATGACTCTTCAGTATCTCAAGTGAGTTCCAAATCTTTCTATATATGTAACCGGGATTGAATCTATAAATCACATAATTGCTTCTTTGGTTTCTAATTCTTCTTATTCTCGATGATATGTAATAAAGGTCGTGATCTTGTTGTGTGCGTGCTTGCAGGGATATCACGACTACGTTTCCAAGCTTTGTGTTCCATTCTCAGGTTGAAGATACCTGAAAAAACAAAAACATGCAGCAAGACATCATTGTATTGTTGAAGGTTGTTCTTTCGTTATGGTTTTTGATTTGTTACATTTCTAAATCTCTGAACTCATTTTTTTTATTGAGCTTTTTTTGTGAAGTAAAATTCTTTTGTAGTTTTGGGTTTTGTCCTTTTGATTTCGCTCGGCCTATCTGTAGATACAACTTTTGCATCTTGATCTTATGGTATGTAAAGTTTTTCGGTTTATTAGTCCACGTAAAAAGATTTGCTTCAATCTCTGTGTTTTGGTTATTTGAGTTTGCTTTTGATTTAATGGATTTATAGATTGCAAGCAAAACTAGTCATTTCATATGTGACTTATATAGATTGTAAGCAAAACTAGTCAAAATTGAGTTGTGTTGCGATCAGCTCGGTGCTCGTTTTCGTGCTCTTTCTAACTGCCTTAGCCTCTTGTGCGACCTCCAGTGCTCTCTACGCCGTATCTGCCGTTAATCTGGAATTTGAATCCGGTAAAAATTTCTACTGGTCTCTGTCACAGTTTCTTGACTCTAGTATTATGCCATAGATCATTGCAGAGTCAAAGGAACACTACACTAGGTTTATCAGTGGCTCCTTTGCTAGGTTGTACATAGCAAAGAAAAGAGCTTGAGATCATAAATATAGATTTGATGTTTGAAAAAGTTCAAAAGAAAGGACAGACTCCTGACTCAAAACTCAATTCCAAACTTCTAGTAAGGAGCCTGACTCTAAAAGTTCCAATTTTGATCAGCAAGATTGACAATTGCGGTTTCTTCGGAATCCAAGATTTGGACGTGGTTAGGAAACAAGTCGGGAAAAGAGCTAGAAGAGACGCAGAAAGTTTCATACTTTATGAGGAAAATGCAGATATCTCCAATGTCTTGAGTGTAAAAAGCGTTTCCTTCTTCGTCTATCTTGAACACCATTAAAGCTACTGTTTTCATTCTGGCAGTACCATTGATGATCTCTGCAGTCTTCTTGTACTGCTTAACCATGAAAGTTTCTTTGGTGGTCCTTGACTCCACCAAGTGTTCGCTCTTGCAACACGAATCAAGAAGCTCTTTGTTGGCCTTGGTAAGCTTGGGAATCCTTCGGAACTGCAATCTCTGAAACTTGGGTCTGGAAGTTTGTGTGTTGAGATCCCATGATCCGATGAGGTGGCCTCCAGATCCAGGTAGTCGAAACATGTAATCTTTCTTGGAAAACATGACAGGGGAGGAGAAGAAGCAGGGGTTTGCAACTCTGATGTTGATCCACTCAGAGTTACGTTGAGCCGGTCTGCAAAAGCTTATTTGAGGTCCCAAGAACTTGACAGCTACAACACAGTCCTCATCCTCTGGAGAAGACGAGGACATAGCCACGTTGGTGACAATTTGGGTTTGGCAATGGTGCAGAGTTTCAAGAGGAGGCAGAGAAACGTGTTTCGGCTCGGTATCTGATGAAACCGGGTTTAGATCAATGTCTCGGAGACCCATAA